AGTACTTCAAACTGAATCTATCAGTATATATCTCTGTTTGATTCCCCATTTCAACCAACTTCCTTTCTATCCTTTCTTTGTAAGAACACAAAACTACTACTCCTTATCCTTCTTGATTTTTTCCTTCTCACTTACTTCAATAAGCTCTAAAACGAAACCATTTTCGTTTGAATTGTAACTCTGCCTTTTTACAGTCACGAGATTTTGGGAAAAGTAAAAGGAAAAACAAGTGCAATGCATAAATGAAGTATAAACAAGGAACAAATCAGCTGTAGTGTACTTTTAGAACATCCGTAATTCAAATTGACTTGCTGGGATAATTGTCACACCACTTCCTCCTGCTTTGTCGTGAGGTCACAGCCTGTTTCCGAACTTTCACACAAGACTTAGCGGGAAGAATAATAACATAACGCGAACAATCATTTGTTAAAAAGCCATCTAATGCCTTTTTAGCTTTTAATTTCAAAATTTTAGCGTTGCCCCTTTGAAACGTGTTCTATTCCAAGATAGTAAGAAGAATGCGTTCGTATGAGAACGATTTCCTTACTTTGCATAGGCAAAATTAAGAAAGCAGAAGTGTTAGAGGAGCAGACGTATGCAATAATTAGGTTTGATGCGTCGTGACAGAACGGCAACTGCTATGCTTGGAATTTGACGCCAAAAGCATTTACTTGCGATAACAAGCATAACAAACTGAATGCATGTTTGGATAAGTAGAGTTTTTGCCCATCTTATCTCGCGACTAGGGACCAACAGTTCATTTCCAATAATTTAAATGTAATTCCCAGCTGTTTCCGCCAACGATTACAAATTTATCACCGACTAAGCAGATAAGCGAATCGAAAATTATAGTTGCTGCAAAAGTAATTGCTTGGTTGAAAGTTCTGCATCACTATATTCGACAACTAAGACTAATAGCATCAATTTACCATGCAAATATCATAGCTTATGGTCTTTTCATTGGCTAATCCTAATTAGACTATTAAACTCTGCTGATTGATCTCTGTTGATAATTTCTAGCCTCGAATTGTCCTTTAATAAATGTTGGAATTGTGTTAGCGGCACCTAATACACTCGTGAAAATTGCCAATACTTTTTCACCT